TGCAACGACAATTGTGAACAATTTGCTTTTATTTCTACAAATGCATGTAACACAGTGTAAATGTCGAATAGATATAGCTGGATATCCTTGAACAGCCCTCACAAAATAACAGATCTAATTTCTCATTGCTTTCTGCTGCGTTAAATTTGAGAATTGCCGACATCCCGTCCGAATTAATGGCGATCATTCAGTACAATTGAAGAACAGAAAAAGGAAAAAAGCAGACTGAAACTATAAACATGCAAGGACAGCAATATTTCCTTACAATTTATACATAGTGAATGCAAATCCAAAATTTTGTCTATTTCTAATCTAAACAGCAAGCGATTGCGCAGAGGAATATATCATAGGCATTTCAAGAAGTCTTAAGAATCGGTTACTTCAGTTCCGCCGTCGTTTGATTAGACACATCTCAGTCAATACATGAAGAATCCTTGAGCAGCCATGGCGTCCACCACAGGACGATCAGCAACAGGCTCGCGAACATCGTGAACAAACGCAGGGACTTGCCGAGCGGGCTCGCGAACAGACAGTGGGACATGGCGAACAGACACGACCTCCTGCTTTACTTCAGGGTTGCTGCTCACGACTAACTTTCCCGTATCCACATCAAATTGCAGCCGCTCCTGCGTCGACTCTTCTCGAGGTCGATTAGTGTAGTTGTACGGCTGTCGACTTGCACCTTCTTCAACTTGATCAGGCCGCTGCGAACCGCCGAAACCTGAGTCAAACAATCTTCTGGTTGGGGCCTTCCTCTTGTCATCCATATTGAACGTCCAGCACGATGTGACTGTAGAGGCGAACACTGAGTTGTATATGTGGATTTGATTCAACTTTAAGAACACGAACACAATTAAAGCGAAAGCGGAAATCAAGAGGCATGCGCGGACTCTTGAACAGAAACGCCGGCATGACTTCAGGGTCAACCATAAAAACATAACTACACTTTCACTAGGTTCATATTCCTGCCGGAAGCTCTCCGTTTAAACAGGGTAAATGAAAACCTTAATTTACTGCTATCCTACAGACCCCTTTGTTGTGGACCAAAAGACAAATTTTATTTTCTTCAATCAGGAAATGCTCAGAGTAATGGGCAAATTAATGCGCAAAATTTTCTGTAGTCCAAACTTATTTGCATAAAATGACACCGTTTTCTCAGAAAAGCCAATTAATGCTGGCTTGCTGACAGAATAAATTCCTTGCATCGAATAACATTTTTAGTGGAGAAAATTTTCAAACGATTTAATATAATTCTTTCTCATTCTGACTTGTTTCACTGTTCTTTGATTCTAACTCAGCTTACATTCATTGGAAAACTTCACTTTCCAACTTTCAACTTTATTACTTCCGTCCATCGTCTACTGCATTGTTTAAGCATTAATTTAAAATGATTCTTGCAATATATGTGATGATAAGGGAGTCTATAGAAACGCAAAAGAGATGTTTGAATTAAACCAGCATGTTATTCCATATTTTGCGATGAGCTGGTCCGACATATAGATCTCTTTCTGTGCAATATAGTTTTAGAAATGTCGGTATGCTGCGGGAAATTTACCTTGAGACGAATCATATATCTTTTCTGCTGCAACGTTTGTAACTCTTTATCTGTCATTTTGTCTTATTATCCACATGCATGTGTGAAAAACCTCCTTTGCATTGGTTGATCATCAAGACGGTTTTGCCACTAAGTATTCTTTGGCCTACACTGGGCACCTCTTTTACCATTGTTGTTTTGAGTGATATTAAGTAACATACCCATTAAATTAGGTGTTATTACCATGCCTAGGACTTTTATAATTGAATAAACTGAAGCAGGGAGACCACTTCTCGTCGCCGATTCAACTAATTCGGTTTTCACCGAACTATGGGTGAGATTACACTAAATACATGATTACCATGCAAATAAAAGCACATTGATATGGCACTGTAGTTGTTGTCGATAATCCTTAAAGTGACTAAAATTTAGGATAATTTTCAATTTTAAAGTTGAATTCTCCGAGATTTTACCATGTTCATTGGAAAACTAATTTATGTTGTTCAAAGTTTGGACTGGCCCGGTCGGGATCATCCACCTCCATTTTTTCATCGTCGCTTCCTTCATTGTCTTCGCCATTGCCGTCGTTGATTTTCTGCTTGAAAACTTTTCCATGTGGAAGATACTCTATAACAAGGGGCTGATAGTGTTCAGAACCTTTGCTATAGAGATACGGGCAGATAGAAATAACTTTATGGCCGTTCGTTCCAAAACGCCAAAAAGCCAAAATCAAAATACCTCCGTCTGGATACTCTCGGCGCATGCTGGTTGACTCTTCAGGGGAGGGCGCATGTTGTTCGTTTGGACAGAGAATGTATTTTCCGATGTTTTCCAAAGAGTACCCCTCTACTATGCATCCTCTGTATTGTATGGTGATCTTTTGCTGATGATTTGGAGATACCGAACGAGGCTCTTTCTTGATGTTAGGTTCCAGGACGACATGCACTACAGGCATGTTGTCATTTGTCCACAAGCCTAGCAGATCTCCCTCAATTCTAGTCCCTTGATTGAGGCCCAGCTGCTTCTGAATTATCTCACAATCCTCTTCAAACATGTAAGCAAATGTGTTTTCTTCCTGGTTTTTCTGATCAGGTCTTGATGACGTATTCGTTTTAACTTCTGGATCTTTTCGGACTCTCAGCCTGTATTCATGGGCAGTTGTACTTTTGTCTTCGTCCGTCTCTATATTCCTTCGGATGACCTCTATTTCCTTGAAAGGACTACGGTATTTGCCGAGCAGTTTGATTACACCTCTTTCATAAGTACTCCGTCCTTCCTTGTAAAGGTAAGGCGACAGTGTGACATTCTCATTTGGTATAATGTTGGCGATGATCAGAAGAAACCCACACGTGCCCCTCGGAAAGTTTCGACTGACAGTCGACGAATCACCCGTGCTTGGCTCTGAGAGATGGAGCTGATGGTGGGAATGCCATTCACCGATGTGACACAGCTGAAACTGCTCCGTCAGCACCTTCCCAACACGCTGTAGATACGGAATACTCTGATAGAACGACACTTCGGTTCGAGTGCAGCCTATGGCTGGGCCTAGCACTACATGTAAGACTGGCTCTTGGTTATTACTCCACAAACCAAACAGATTCCCACCTGTCTCTTTGGCGGGATGAAGTAGGACCAACCGTTTCATCATGTCAACATCTTCCTCAAACATATAGACCTCAAAATGCTTCGCATTGTGAGTTCCCATCTTAGGTCCGTGAACGTGTTTCAGCGTTGAACTGAATATAGCTATGCTGACAGAAAACTGTGTACTTCTAACTGTGTCGATAACAACTGATCATGCGTTACAAAACATATTCTTTCCGAGAAACGAATTGCACGTTTCAAGCAAATTATGATGACACTAGCGCTTTTAAACTCAATGCACAGTTAAATTTCCCTCCAGTATTCAAGCTTTCTTTTGTTCATTTTCACATAAGATGTTGTTTGAAAATTCGACTGGTATAAATTTCACTACATTCACAATCGAAGGGTCATAATCATCTTCCGGCTTTTCTCAGAAAGTTTGCGATTGCGCGATGGTCACGGCCCTGAATATGTAATTTGGCTCACGCCGGGTCACGCACTCATACGTCCAAATTCTGCGTAATGATTCTGGAATCATGGTCGGAAAAAGCAAGAAAGCTGGGTGGGATTATTTCTCCTATCGACTCCTATGTGAGAGTCGAGTTGACTGATGGTTGACAGATGGGTTTCGATCGAGTAATCACAAGATCTAGCAGGTTAAACATAGGATGCGTTTATTCGAATTCTAAATGATGAAGTGCTGATTTACTAAATGGCTATACACAGACTACCTTGTAATCAATGAATGTGTTGTTATAGATAGTTAATAAATCGAAGTGTCGTGAATCAAAGCCGAGTGTTAACTGGCACAACTTTTCGCGCTTTGTAGATATTTGTGCTTTTCTCTCTTGTCTTCGCCCATTCCAAGTTTCAACTTAAATCGCGTTAAAAGTAGCAAAAACTAAATATGCATAAATCATAAATACCGGAAACCATCGAACAAATGATTTCTCCTTTCAGCCCCATAGCCTAGGTTGTAGTTCAACAATTGAGTGCATCTTTACATAACGTTTTCAAACTCCTTTTGGTAACATTGTCCTATCGCAGCCTATTACAGTGTATTTAAGGTAAGTCTTTAGGTTTCACATTACATCTATAAATACAATTTATAAGACAGTGAAGAGCTGCTTGCTTCCTTGACTCGTCTGTTTATCTTGGCCACGTGGATGTTCTGTACCGCATTCCAGAGGTTTGTTTGCGTACACTTGGTAACTTGGCTGATGTCGACGATTTTCCAAAATGGCTATATCCACCTTGCGAATACTGTGAAGGTACCTTTATATCTCTTCCCGATTCTCTGCTATCTTTGATTTTTTTTATTTTATTAAAGGCATTTGTCTTAGGTAAAGGCACAATCTTTCCCATTTCATCATAGCCATAGGTTGACTTCTCTGTATAAAGATAGGGTGACAGCTTCACCTCCCTTGGTGACAGGATGTTAGCAATGATCAAAAGGAAACCACATGTCCCACGGGGATAGTTCCTAATTACGGTCGACGAGTCACCTCTACTTGGCTCAAAGAGACGCAGTTGATGATGAGAGTGCCATTCTCCAATGTGGCACAACATGTAATCTTGAGTTAGTAGCTCGCCGTTTCGCTTTAGATATGGAATATCTTGGTAGAACGAGGCACCGGTCCTTGTGCAGTTTCTACCTGGGCCCAGTACCACATGCAGCACTGCATCACCATTGCTGGTCCACAAACCGAACAGGTTTCCTCCAGTTTCAAGATGCGGGTATTGAAGAACGAGATTCTCCATCATTTGGTAGTCCTCTCTGAACATGAAGACCTTAAAATCGCGTTTACTTGCAAAACCACTTTGGAATCTCTGGTTGCTCGTCGAGTATAGTGCACGACTTTGCTTTGCACCTATGCCGGGGGGGATCTCCTCCACATCAACCTGTTTTCTGGACAAAGCTTTACTTACAGAAGTATGGCGCTGTTGTTTTCGGGCAGTTGAAGGGGAGCTTTTTGAAACTACAGAAGAAGTCCACTCCATTTGATTTTCTTCATCGAGGCATTCATCTATCCGACTGTTTAGGGCGAGTTCTTTTATTCCTTCGATGTTCTTGAATGGCCTTTCAGCTGTGAGTAGTTCCAAATTACACTGTTCGCCTTTATTATCTCCGTGTTTCTGAAAGCGGAAAAGACGGGGCGACACTATGACTTGTGTTTGTGACTTGATACAGATTGCGAGGCGCACGAATCTTCTTCTTGTTTCATGATTGCATCTTGGCTGATCCAACTGATTTGAGTCGGTTTGGTGAACCTCTGAAGGATCATAACGCCAGTTACCAATATGGCAAAGAGGACGAACTTCCTGGGCAGTATCGTCGAAATTTGAGCCTCTCTCTGTACACAAACGTTGTCCACAAACGATGTGTATTACCGGTTCCTCATCGGTAGTCCACAAGCCAAACAGATCTCCTGTTGCCTGCCGCACCGAATCATGACGAAGAGCAAAGTCTATCAGAGCGTCGCGATCCTTCCGAAACATATAAACGTTCTTTCTCGATCCTTGGACGTTGTAGGTACCCATAGTTAACGTTGTTTAGCGGAAAGGTGAAACGCTAACGCCGTAACCGAAGCATCGTTGCTGTGTAACAAACTGCTCATGCGCTACGACTACGATAGTTTCCGAGAATCGAAGACAGAGTGCAGTTCATTTGCATTCCTTTTGTGTATACTCCATTTCAGAGCTCGTTTACCACCAAACGTTTTTTCATCGATACTAAAAGAATATTGGAAAACGAAGTCAAGGCTGAATCAAAACTGGCTTTCGAGTTTGACTTCTTACTGGTTATCGGTCATATGATCCGTGTTCAATTTCAAATTCCGCAAATGCTTTCGAAATGCTTGTAAATAAATTAAAAATTATATTCACTTGATTCAATTTCTGGGAAAATATCCATGCTTTGTAAAGACTCAATAGTTTCAAATGTCTTTATTTGTTAAAGCCTACCAATCAAATGACAAGGTTTCCTTTAGTTAGCTGTAAACTATGCATTCGTTAAAGTCACGCAATTAACTTATTTCCGCCATGATTTTAAATCCTGGGCCGTCACGCAAAAGTCAAACTGCTTTGTGGGCTGTTCCTTACTTTGTTCTTTTCAGGTACAATACAAACTCTCACTAAATGTAATTAAAAACAATAAAGTACTCTCTGAGAACATAAAGAAACTGAAAATCAACCTATAGGTCACTCACACTGCTTCTAAAAATCACTTTAGAAAGAAGCCCCCACCGATCCCCTCATTATATTAGTTTTCCACCCTCCCTATCTCGAAATTTCGTAACCTTTCCTTTTAAGGCATAAGCTTCTTTGTAAGGAGGTCATCTTTACTGAGAGCTTTGAATGACTTGAAATACGTCGAGGGCACAAGAACGCTCATTAGGAAGGATAGAAAACGAGCAAGTTCCCTCCAGCATCATTGCTTGGCTACTGAACTGAGAGTATCTACTTAGGCAAACTGGAGAACTTGGTCAGTGCGTGTTTCAAGGAGCAAATCCCACGTCCCCGAGACGGTCTTAGAGTTCAGATGGGAAATTCTGCCCCTTCCCACGAAGAGAACATGGAAGACCCCGGAAAATATGAAGACTTCGATCTGGCAATGGACGAGGCGGGAAAGTATAAAGTTGTGACAAAGGAAGAGGCCAGGGGGAGACAAGATCTGCAGGTCCTTATTAAAATTTACGACAAAAAAGCTGAGGGATTCTTCTATTAGATTACTTATAGGTCACGAGCGCAGAACTTTCAGATTCATTAATTAAATGTAAATCGAACGTTGCACTGAAGAGCTATGCTGTTTATATTTCTGATTATAGCTTACTGCGTTTTTTTTTTCTGCAATGAATCAGAACCTATATTTCAAACTAGGCCACTGTAAAACGTGACAGTAGTCTAGTTATGAGTCTTCTTGGTGCTCCTGGGAACTCTTCTACCACGAAAATGTATTTTATAAAGAACTGAACTGGTTTCGTGTTGTGGCAGCAGGCTACGTCTTCCAGATTATGTACGTGCGTCAGTGCATTGCACTTTGAGTAGAGAATGAACAGAAACAGCACTTATATAAGGTAAATAAATACGTATCATAACAGTTTTTACGATAACCGCGGAAATTTTCGCTCGCTCATTGGCTAATTTTCATTGTCAATAAGCGGACAGACACATGAATTTATAATTTATGCGACTCGTCACTGCGAGAGCGGACAATTTTACAATTTGTTATTGTAAAAAACAAATTGACGTCAGTTCTTCATGCGTCTGTCCTGTCATTGAGAATGAATTTTGTCATAGCATTGTCAAATTCACTCGGCTATCGCCTTGTGGATCCACAGCCGACTTTGACAATGTTATGAAGAAATTCATGATCAATAACAGGACAGACGCATGAAAACCTGACGCCAACTTGTTTATTTGATGTATAGCCGACTACGATTTCGTACCTATCGCGATCTAATTTAGCTTATTTCAGTCCCGAATTGCGAAAATAAATTCGCTTACTGACTGACAGCAACGTAGGATTTTTATTGCGCTGACTTCTTTAAACATGGATATTTCCGTTGAATCTTACTAATGCGAGCATAAAGGCCTTTGTTTAGTTAAAGTATGGAGAAGTTTCAGTTTACCATTTTTCTGAGAAATAAAATCAGCCTGCAGTTTAATGCGTGACATAAAAGAGAGGCTTGTCACAAATATTCCAAAACAAAATAACGGAATTTCTCAGAAAACGCGGAAGAATAATCGGCTGTCAAACATTGACATTGTAAAGACGTTTGGCCTTTATACCTCATGTGACTAACGCCGAAATAAATGGATGACGTCAACATGATATATAATTTATAAGGAAAAACGGAAGCGTGAA